TAAAGTTATCAATTGTTAATAGAGTTTCTCTACATTGGCTTTGGCCCTTACATGTAAATACTAATACTCACGCTCGCATAAACCGCAATTTTTAATCTTTAAAACACATTTTTGTACCGAAATATATTTTTAGAAAAGTTCCTAAGCCTTGTGCTGGCCTAAGATCGTAACAGTCGTTATATAAATAAAATGATACCTTCTACCTTTTTGATATCAAAGATGATTGATTTTACTCCCAATTTTTTACTGGTCTCATCCATATTATAACCTTAATGTCATGTAACAACATTTCCTACTGACCCAAGATCGTAATAGTCGTTAAAATGATGCTTTCTGCCTTTTTGACATCAAAGATGATTGATTTTACTCCTACTTTCTACTGTTCTCAACCATATTTTAACCTTACTGTCATGTAGCAACATTCCCTACAGATTTTATGATATAAGGCATAGGAAAAAATGGAATCTAACCTGTAGCGCATGTTGTTAACGGGATCAAATGCAACCAAACGAGGAACTGGATACTTGCATAGTGGACAAAACTAAAAGCCATTTATGTCAGCAAGAAATGTAAAACCTTAATGCTGACCAACCCTTCAGGAGCGAATATGAATTGAAAGATCTATTGTTTTCACTTTTATAAACTTTCACAGTATGGGTTTTACTAGCTTTGTTGCACGAAAATAATAATTAAAAATATCATCTACCCTACTGACTAGTTGTCAAAATTAGTCTTCATTTATTGATATACGTCGCAATATCAATCTGATTCACTTCTAAGGAATTTTACAAAGGGACTCATGGATTTTTTACCTTGTGTCTCTAGACAGTTTGCATGGTATTTTTAACGGAAAGAAGCAAATTCCAATCTGTAAATATCTAGTTGTATGTATTCAAATTGTGTTACCTATTCAAAGATTGTTTTCATAAATTCCTTTTGTGGAGATGAACGTGTCAAAACAAGTCGAAAATGAAAGGATTTGAAAACGTAGTGAACTTTTTTTTCTTTTCGATATGTTCTCTTTTTACTCAGTATTTGAGTTTTAAAGAATCGAATGACTCGAAAATGAAATTGTGACTTAAATTGTCACCTGGTCTCGTAAAACGTCTGCTAGGTTAAATTTGTTTGAAAATAGTGTAGAGTTAAGTTTTCACAGCTTCTTATTGAAACACTTTTGTAGTAATAGTCCTCATGGAACAATAAGCTGATGAGTCAAGATTGCAGGGATACATATGGTTTAAACTTTCAAATAACATAAGCACGTTGTTTACCGGAATTGATGGGCAAGATCAATGTTTGGATTTCATCAAATGTTAATCTTAACCCGTGAAGAATTCTCTATAACAGGACCCCCAATCCCAAAACATAACCGAGTTTATTTTTCCTGGGATTTTCTAAGGGCCAAATTGTTAGCAATGTCTGCTTTGTTGAGTTTAACGTACGGCTTTGCCTTCCTAATCTCCGTTTTGATTCCAGAAGTCAGCAGTGCTTCAGGTATGTTGCATGTCCTTGCGTTCCATCTATCATACGACATAAATTGACACCCCAAAGCAAAAGCGAAACTATATGAGTTGATAAAAACAAACAATCCTCTAAACATTCCGTTGCCGTGATGGATTAACTGTCGAGGTTTCACTCAAATAGGAAAACGTGCAATGAAGCACAGTTGTTGAGACTATTGTAACGTAAACACCTTTACTATTTACGTCTTGGGTCCGAGTTTTATCTCCTCGAGTTACAGTACATGGGCAAAGTGTAGGCAGGCTACACATCGAAAAGGAAAAAAATCAGGATCCGTAACTTATGGTAATAGACCAGTGGCGTGGCTAGAATGACAATAATCAAATCTTTACCATTAAAATTATCTGTTGATTGCTTTGATTGCTTGTTTTGATCTCCTTTGTAAAAAAATGCTAAAGCGTGGTAGAAAAAATAATTCTCAGCTCAAACTGATATTTTAAGACGAGAAAGCATTATAAGTATGGCAAAATTGTGAGGGAATTATAATTCAACTAAGACCCGCAATTTCTATGTAATGTTACCATCGGAATAAAAGCATCAGACACTCTTAACATGAGAAATTACCTGAGCACTCCCCAAGTTGTCAACATACCAATTACCTATAGTTTGTCCATAGCCAAAACGAAAAGTGTCCTAAGATGGTGGAAATATGTACGTTTAGTTTAAGCTTGTGTATAATTCCAATATCTTGTAATGCTAAGGAAAAAAACTTGTTAAACAGAGAGCTCTGACTTTTTTTATCTTTGATTAATTTGTGAAATAGTTTTAACAACTAATAAGCGAAAATTTGTGTTAGGTGACTTTCGCAACTTGGAGTTCAGAAGCAGCTACACGTTCAAAGGCAAACGCCTGATTAACCACGTGATTAATGCCACTGACGCAATCGACGAACGATTCTGCAGGATTCTATGCCATTCAGATTACAATGGCATCAGTTATAATTTTTGTCTCGTGGTGAAGCTGGGAGGCAAAGGTGTGAATTCAATGATATGTCACATGTAGAGTATGATGGTGATCTAGAGAGCAGCCCTAATTATACTTATTACGGAGCTCAGGTTAGAATCCCTGAAAACTTGTATATAATTATTATATAATGAATGATATAATAATATAAACAATAATAATAATAATAATAAAAGTAAAAACAATGATAATATTTTATATTGCGCTAAAAACTATCTACATATTCGAGAGCGCTTTACATTACAATGAGTTTGTAGTTTACAGTTGTTTCTGAAAATAGTCAGGCTGCTACTGGCTCTGATTGATAAGGGTAACGATTTCCATGAGGCTGGAGCAGCATAGGCGAAGTGTAGATAAGTTGACCCTTGGAATGAACAGAAGAGATGTGTTGACGAGATAAAGACATTTAAGCGCTTTTTCCTTGCGCACCTTACACAAGTTTCTTTGCTCTAGTTGATATTTTTACGGCTTTCAAACTAATTTTTGTCAGATAATGCGGGCAATCCCATATGAGCTCCATAGGAACATCATGACTGTTCGGGTGGTTACATCACAAGACAGCATTCACGTTTCACATCATCATGTCCTCACGCTGCGCTAACTAAATAGTACCATTGTTTCCTTTTTTGTTGTTTGTTTTTTTTTCCACGAGTGAATTATCTGTTACTGAGTTAGTATCCCCAATAATGGATACCTAAAAGCAAAATGTAAAGATATCCGCTGACCAGCATTTTTGGTTTTCATGGTCATTAGAACGCTTGTGTAAACAATGAATGCAAAAACAATGCGACGTGTCAAACTGGTTTTACTGACAGAGGATATCGCTGCATGTGCATTCCGGGTTTTCGGGGGCAAGACTGCAAAATTTGCGGTAAGTGTTCAAAAGGAAAAATAACTCCTTTCAGGACGTGTCCGGATCGATATAAGTTAGTTAGCGTTTGTCCTTTAGGAAAAAGATAGAGCTTGCACTTAATATTCTACATAAGGTGCTACATTTCTTCGTTGTAAAAGGTTCCACGCTTCGAAAGCAACAGTTGTTGCTTTTTCTTTCTTTTGCTCGTAGTAAGTCACTAAAATCGAAGTTGGAAATAAAAGTTAGTAGACTACCCAAAACAATTAGCGACAAAACTATCAAGTAATAACATATGATAGATGAAAAATGAAATTAAAATGAGGAATAAAGAAAATAACAAAAAAAACTAGTAGAGTAAATAGAAAAAAGATCATCAACCATATAATATTACTATAATTATAACAGATATCTGTTCCATGAACAATGGCTAATTTCACAGTTCCCCGTAATTTATTAGGCTTCAAAAATAAAACAGGAAGTTCAAAAACGATAGAATGATTCGTTCTCAAAGTTGTTAATCATCTTGCCACTGTGACCTCTTAGAAAGTCTCAAATATATGATCAAAAGAATTTCTTACTTCTGAGGAATGAGATTGGTTGGTTTTCATTTGCTTTGTCTAATTATATGTTCCTTCATTAGTAACAATACTAACTGTAAGGAAGAAAGAGGGAAAGTAAAAATGCAGTACTCACTGTGCGTAGGCTTCAATACAAGAATTGATCAGTGCTTACTTACCGTCGAGATAACAACTACTGCTTGAAGTCAGGATGTTCCTCGTCAAAGCGCTTTATCCTTACATGTCTAGTAATCCATTTTTTAGCATTTAACTATTATTGTATTTTTTTTCTGCAGAATTTGCATCGTGCAAGGAAAGCATAATTTTTGTACATACATTAAAAAAAAAAACACTTCGGCACTTTTTTCACTCTTGATTCTGAGGAAAATACATAGATACAGATCTACCTATAGAATCGAAGTTTAGTCGGGTAGAAATGTTATTTTGAGTCAATCCATTATATTGGGGTAACTGAAATTCCGCCAAAATTAACAAATTGATAAATTTTCGTCCATACCTTTTGTTTTCAAGTTATACTATTCGAAAAATAATAAACAAACAACATAACAAAATTTGCCGTAGTATTGCATGACTCAGCCAGATCGTGCTTTTCAGGTTTAATGAAAACAAAGCTTATCAATTGAGGGTAGGAAATCTTAGTTTTCTTGTATATTGCCACCTCAGTGGGACTAATCTTGAACCATGCGGAGCTGGTGGCTGGACCCTGGTCATGAAGATTGACGGCTCAAAGGTAATGTGACTAACATTGAAATTCTTTATTGAGTGAATGGTTAGCTCTTAGTTGTACACTACATTGTGTGAAAAGGTAAGGTTATGTCTTTTCCGGCAATCTCCTAGATAGCTCTTGTTACACAATAAATACATCGGGTTTCTTGATTATCAAATATTAGGGAACTTTTCACTGGGGCTCCAACCTTTGGATGAACAATCAAACTTTTAACTCTGCTGGAGGACAGACAGGTTTTGACGACGAAGAGACGAAATTACCAACATACTGGGGAATGCCTTTCACCAAAATTTGTCTCGGAATGAAAATTGGCCACCAGCAGAAGTTTATTCCAGTCGAGAAGGAGGCCAACTCATTATACTCATTGATTTCTGACGGAAAATATCGACGCACCTCATTGGGTCGCAACACTTGGAAATCGCTAATCGGGACACAAGCCTCTTTGCAACGGGAATGTAACAAGGAGAGGTTCAATGTGATGACTTCAGTGGCGCATTCTAAAGCAAGAATTGGTGTCATTGCTAACGAACAAAATAACTGCAACAGCTGCGATTCCAGAATTGGTTTTGGTACTGGAGGATTTCCTGATGACTCTAACACCTGTGGAAACATTGCTTTAGATGGATTACGTGCAGATAACGGGAACAAGAGAATTAAGGCCGTGGGATACATCTTGATCCAATAATGGTATTGTTGTAATCTGAAATTTTTTTGTGTGTGCGTGCGTGCTTATTTTTTATCTTTTATGCATGTGTGACGCAAAAGTTATCGAAATTCTCAAAAAAAGCTGTTATTATTGAAATTTGAGCTGTTACGACACCTAAATATGGTAAAATTCAATAAAAACTCAAAATGAGAAAAACTAAAACATATCCTACGTAAAATGTATTAACTTTTCTAACGCTTGAGTAGAGCCAAACTGCTAAATCAGATGTTTCAAAATAATCGGTGAAAACGAGCCAGGGGGACAGAGTGCAATAGTTTCCGAGAAACAGAAAATTTCGGGGGTTGGAGCTGCTCCTATGCTGTCTTTAGCTATGCAGTGAACGAGTGACAGAGGTGACACGTTTCCATGTACCAGTTTGCAAATTTAGTTGTGATAAAAACTCGGGACTACATTTAATAAAACAAAAAAGGAGGAGAAGAAACGGTTACGTTCATATCTTAACCGAGGCCATGATGCGTGATTTTTGTTGACCATTTATTTAAAGCAGTAAAGGAAGGGCTAATTTGACGCGGAAAAACTCAATTTGTTTGCAATTTCAGTGATGAACACAGAGATAGGCTTCAATTCATTCGAGTACCGGTACATCATTTCTTCATAGCAATTCAAATCCTCCAAAAGATGTGACCTGTTTTCAATTCAACCTCTCCTCTCTTTCGAATCCGATTAGGTTTCCAGTGAAGAGGTTTAGCAAAAACTAAAATTGTAAGAGGACCACTGCTAACAGGAGGGTCGGTATAGATTACACATGTGCGTGAGTAGAAATTTCATGCTGACCACATCAAATTCATCTGACTTTTTTTCCAGTTGACTCAATATTCAACTAAAATGGACACAAGTGAATGCATTGTATTTCCTAACATTTAACTATAATGAAAAAAAAGCTGTTTTATTTATGTTATATTTGTTTTATCTATTTGCTTATTTAACTGAATTGTTTTATTTATTGCAACACACATTTGAAACTTACTTAACAACACACTTGCACAATTAACTGAAACTACTTTAGCGGGAAATGCAACCTCACGTTGCTAAAAAACATTACTTCGCTATATTCTGGATTAAAGACTAGACATCGGAAGTGCCTCCTCTTGCCTTTTATTTGTTGTAACCCTGGTATTTAGTTGAGTTAGAAGGAAAACCCCAGAAACGCACAGATGGGGTGGTCGGGGATGGCTTTTTCGTTACATTTTTTCAATATGGCTGAAATGTAGTTCTTGCGATGTTCGTTTCCTAATAGCCATTATGGTTTTAAAGACCCTTAGTCTCATGCTTCGCTAAACTTGGTCAGAAATCTATTACATCTTAAGACTCAATAAAATGCCAAAGTCGTTTCAAAGTGGTATTTGTCCTCCTATTGGATTCTTTTGAACGAGGGAGAACTGGAGACTAAAAATGATTGACCGAGTATTTGCTGAGCAACAGCGCTGTATGATTATCCGACATACAATACTACCTGTCTATCGTTTCCTTCTGTATCAGTAAAGCATAAAAGCCTACCTCTCATAGGCTATCTGTAAAGAATAACGTCACATTGCTGACGAATTTTATTGCACCAAAATATATCCCATTGTTTTGAGATGTTTGTCTCCATTATCTCCTCCATACCTAACTTCGTTCCCACACGTGTTAGAATTGTCGTGTGCTCCACCAGCTCCGAATCCAATTCTTGAGTCACAGTATCTGCAATCGTCCTCATTGTTACCAAGGATACCAATTCTAGTTCTGGAATGCCCGTAGTCTGTACCAAACACATTAAAGCCGTCTTTGTTACAATTATGCTGTAAAGATGCCTGTGAGCCTACAAGTTTCTTCCACTTGTCACGGCCCAGCAAAATATTGCGATACTGACCGTCAGCGACAAGTGCATGGAGAGAGTTCGATGGCCTATCGATGGAAATGAAATTCAGTTGCGTGTTAATCTTCATACCAAGACAGATCTTGGAAAATGGGGTGCTCCAGTAGGTGGGCAGCTTGGTTTCAAGAGTATCAAACCCAGTTGTGCCGTCGTGGGCATTGAAGCTTTCGTTATTACTCCACAACTGACTATCATAGTGAAACGTCATCTGCCGAAAAAAAATAGCCTCGCGTGAGATTGTCGTTCGGAACAGATTATTCCCGAACTGAGTGAAAAACAAAACTGGATTCAACCTATCTATCATGCATCAACTTGCTCAAGTATTTCAATCTTTCTAAATACAGACGTGAAGGGTAATACTCAAAGGGTCATGGTATTGTCTAAATATCAGGAAGCTCATGTCAAAATAATTAGATCCATCGAAGAAGTTTCGTTTCGCATTTATCGCGCAGTAAAATTTTCTGACTTCCAACGGTACTACCTGTTCCGTTGAATACTCCTAGCATTATTTCAATTAATTGAATTAAATTTTCATGTAGACCAGAATTTGAAAGCTTGAAAGCGCGATAGCGTGAGGTTCTTTGCTCAATAATTATTCTCAATGAAAATCATTGGTTTTGACTATTCGCTTGTACTTTTATCGTCATTTATGATACTTTTTTATAATTTACATGACGTCTAATACTTTTTATGATGTGTAGTTGGCTTGTTTCGATAGAATTTACCTTTGTGCCGTCGGTTTTCATAACTAGGGTCCACCCTCCTCCCTCGCATTCTCCATTTTCGCCCAGGCCGTTGTTATCCATGTGACAATACACTGGGATCATCTCAGATCCAATGTTCAGTAAGTAGTCTCTATTTCCATTAAGTGAGCTATCAATAAAGGTAAATTGTAATCGCAGTTTTAGAGTTACCTAAATCCTTGTCAATGGTTTAATTTCTTAAATAAAGTGTACTGCTGCAACGTTCATTTGTGTCCCTACTCCCACCCCCTAAGTGAGTCACTCAAAGTAACATGGAGTAGAGTATAGCTCGTCGTGCCAACCGTGTCACATTTCTACCAATAAAAGTTGTCACTGCAAAGGGAGCAGGAAATGTTTTTTCTCATCAAACAATTTTTTTGCTAGACAAGAATGTAATAGTTTTCAAGCGGCTGTTTCTCCAAGATCTTACGATCCATCATGGTTGATCACATCTCTCTCGGTAATTTTTATTTTTTTTAAAAGAAATCTTTCGTTTGGCTTCTGATTTGTAGGAATACTCTTTTTTCATTTTTAGTTCTTACATGGACTCAAATTTATCATCTTCCCTAAGAAAAATTTGTGTCGAAACAAATAATTGAAACTTTTCTGCATCACTTAAAAACTACTGAAAAACCTTACACTGGAAATCAGCAATGCGACCAAAATTGATCATGAAGATCTTTGAGGGAGAATCTTTTAACAGGTGTCAAATGCGCAACTATCTATAGGCGACGTAAAATTGTATCTAAAAAATGCATAATCAAATTGAATGAAATTATTCAGAAAGTTCTTGAGTAAAATTGCCTGATACTTACATGTTATAGTCATAGATTTCCTTGCAAGTGGACACTGAAACATAGAGGAGAATACTGATAATCTGCATAGGATGAATTCGTAATAATGGGAAATTTCGCCTTTTGTAGAGTTAAGTGAGATTTTGTAACCAATTCCTTTCTTCAAATTCTGCATTAACATATTTGAAAGAGTTCACTTGCCAGTTATTGTTATTATCATTATGTAAGACACGTTTTAAAACCTACCTAACTTGACGCTGCAATTCCATCCGTCTCCTTCATATCCTTGTTTACAAGTACAGCTGTATGAACCTTTGGTGTTGATGCAATCTGAAACATCACTGCAAGAATATGTTCCTATGTCGCATTCATCAATATCTAAAATACACCAGAAGAAGAAGGTTATTCAGGTGTAGCCACTAAAATGAGGCTTAAATGGGTAGCTTGAATTGGTGCTCAGAATAACACCTTAGAATAACAAAGAGACCACAGTTTACCTTCTTCGCAGTCCTCTCCATGGAAACCTTCGCTGCATAGACATCGATATCCTCTATGGGTGAAACCTGTTTGACACGTTGCATCGTTCATACATCGATTGCTTAAGCAAGCATCCTGGTAGGTGGAGAGGAAAGGTGTTGTAATTAAAATTAAGATAACAAAGCAAGCCATAAGCCTTGTTTACCTTGATGTAAGTATCGCATATGCAAGTGCCAATGGTACCGTTCACTTGAAATGGGTAATAGTGACATAATTTGACTTATATGGTTATATACAGACTTGTGATCAATCAACTATTTTCGCTCGTGCGCGATTGATCTAAACACATCACGTAACCAAATATTCCCCAGCTAAAGCTGGGGATATCTGAGGATATCAGCCAAGCGATATTTGCCAATTCTCGAATCATAGGTCCATTACGATGAGTCCTCGTTTAAAATTTCAAACAGAACGAGAGAGCGTTTTTTGGTAGTTACAAGAGAAAGTAAATTTTTTTTTCTTTTGTTGATAAAGTCTATTCAGAGAACACTCAAAAGAAAACAAGCGGCGAAAAGTAAGCTGTTTCCTGTTTGCTGCTTTTTCCACGCGCGTTGAAAATATTTAAAGGATAATAGACACAATGGCCTCTATTTTGCGCGAAAATATGCTCTTATATTTGTCCTTGGACATAATCTGTTCCGCGAAGCTCACAGTTTTCCTCGAGCTTTGCTCTCGAGAAACTTTTAGCATTTCAGAACAGATAATAGGGAGTTTGAGAAACAACGACGGCGACGCCGTGGATAGCATTGGTTAAAAAACGAACTTAGATTTTACCTACAATTCTCTCAGTACTCTAAAGTCATTTAGTTTGTTTCTATCTGTCAAACTTATCTTAAAATTGAGTATGGAAAACAGTGTTAAATTAGAAATGTCGTTCACGTTCTCCAGACAACGCAAAATTTGGTCATCTCGCCTTGCGATTTTGAAGAGGATGCAAAAGAACTGTACAGAGATTTATAACACACGTGCAAAGCCATTGCTCTGCTCATTAAACCTTTTATTAGGAGACGTTCCCGTTGCCGCTGCCGTCGTGGTTTTCTTAAACTTCCTTATCTTCGTGTACAAGTGTCCGTGAATGTTTTCGCGTAAAATAGAAGATGTTATTTATGTATTTTAGGTACTGTTCACATTATGTAGCTATTAAGCGTTAAAGCGACACACGCTTTTCATGAGAATATTTCAAGAATGCTGAGCTGTCATCTCAAAAAGTAGAATTTAAGGGAAGTTACGAATAAACCCAATATAAAATTTTAGCTGATGAAATATTTCTGTTTGTCTAAGATGAAGTAATCATCGAGCAGCTTAAGCCGGTTTGATTATCACAACACCCCTGCGGGTGTTGATAATTCTGCTGGACAGGACGGCGCTCTCTGGCCGGTTGCCCGCAGCCCGACCTTGAAGCATCCCTGAAATGCTAATCTCCATTGAACTATATTTATGAGGTAACAATCCTATTTTGTCATCTTTTTAAACTGAACATTTACCATAGCTCCACGGTAAACAGAGTTCGAGTCTTGTTCCAGATCCCATTCGTTCCCTTCATATGTAGAATTGTTCAATTCACACTGTTTTACTCCATTATTGCCTTCCACGAAGTTGTAACTAACACAGTTTGCTTCCAAGTAACATAATAACTCACAGCTATCCTGAGCTGAGATGCCAGAGACTTGAATCACGTTGTTAATAAGACGTCGACCATGTAGCACCGCGCTGAACTCGAGTTGACGACAGTTTGCTGAAAGAGTATCTACTTAATTCAATGTTACAGAAATGCTCTTTACAAAAGTGATGAAATGATATGGAAAGGGGGGGTGGGGGGTTAGTGGTGGGGTCGGGGGTCGGAGGTATTGTCAAGGTATAATTTACCTAATCTCACAATAAGGCTCTCTCTAATTAAAAAAAAAAAAAATCTGAAAATTACAGGGGGAGAATTCAGTTTAAAAAGTAAGGATAGCTCTCAAGTTGAATATTTTGTCAAACACTACGTTTTCCACGCTTATTTTTTTTCCTGTTTTTGTAGACAATATTTCATGCAATATTTTTACCCTTTAAAAAAAAGCTTCAATGACTAATAGTCCATTTTACAGTTGTGAGCTTGGGCTAAGGGTGACCTTTTTATAATACAAACACTGCTGCTTTTCAAATGCAAATTATTTTGTCATCGTGCTAACTAAATACTGGTCTCTATCACAACAAGCCACCTTCAGCCTCACTCCAAATCAAAGGCTTGGCAACTAAGCACACAACTGTAAAATGGCCTATTATTAAACGGTTTGAGTTCCAAATGTTTGGATTTCTGTATAGTTACGCAAACACAGAGCGCCCCTATCGTTTCTCAAAATCAATTTCTGTGTCGCTGAATGAAGTTTACATCAACATTCCTTTTTACCAAGATATACAAAAAATATGAAAAAGTGTGCAAAAAACCATTTCTATCTCCGAATGAATTTCTTTAAGCAATACCCTCAGTTGTACAATTCCAGTTCATGAATGCGAAAAGTGTTCAGAATCGAAAGGATTTTCATTGCAAAAGAGCCTTCAGTTATCAATTTTCTTGACCTGAGCGGTCGGTTTTTAAAATTCATTTTTTCTTATTTTTGCGTAAAAACATTTTTGAACGCTTAAGAAATAAAATTAAAAAAATTACAAAGTATGAAAGTGAATTCATCACTTTTTTTTCAGTGGGGAAAGCTGCATTAAAAAAATCTAAAAAAAAAGATATATATATTCACTTTGGAATAGTGAATGGAATGCATTTTGAGCTTAACTATGGCGCAAATGTTCACATACGACAAAACGATAAAAAATTACTATCATCGTTCTTCAGAGAAAGTTGGTTTGAAAAGGAGAAAGGAGGTTGCTATGAGTAAAGAAAACCTTGCCCTATTGCAGACAATTTCCATGACACAATGTTAAGTTTTTTTCCTCTTTTTTCTTTTTCCAATGATGAAAGCTTAGGAACAAGACAGTCTGAATAGCGCAATAATCATTTCACACTCCACCTTGCCACTAAGATATTGCAATGGATTGTTTTGGCTAATAGGTGTCTATGGGGGTCGACTTCACCTAGATTTGAACGTGCCGAGGTATAATTTACCTCATCTCACAATAAGGCTCTCTCTCTGATTAAAAAAAAAAATTCTGAAAACTACAGTGGATTCAGTTTAAAAGGAGGGATAACTATCAAGTTGAATATTTTGTCAAACACTATGTTTTCTGCACGTTTTTTTTTGTCTCTGTTTTTATCGGCAATATCTCACGCAATATTTTTACCCTTTAACATAAAGTGTCGATGACCTACTATTAAACAGTCTGAGTTCCAAATGTTCTGATTTCTGTTTAGTTACGCAAACAAAGAGCGCCCCTATCATTTCTCAAAATCAATTTCTGTGTCACTGAATGTAGTTTACATCAAAATTGCTTATTATCGAGGTGTACTGTATACATGAATCTCTCAAAATAGTGTGCAACAACAACCATTTCCACCCCGAACGAATTCTTCTGAGTAGTACCCTTATTACGTGAACAAGATGATCAATTCCAGTTCATGAATGCGAAAAGAGTTTAGAAGCGAAAGGATTTTCATAGCAAAAGAGCCTTCAGTTAACGACTTTCTTGACCTAAGCGGTCGGCTTTTAAAATTCATTTTTTCTTATTATTGCGCGAAAACATTTTGGAACGGCTAAGAAATAAAATGCAAAATAACAAAGTATGAAAATGAATTCAATATATTTTTTTGTGGGAAAAGCTGAACATTAAAAAAAAAAGTTATATATTCACTTTGAAACAGAGATGCATTTTGAGCTTAGTTACGGCGCAAAATTTCACATTTGCGACAAAACAATAAAAAAAATGACTAACCTTGTCCTTCAGAGAAAGTTGGTTTGAAAAGGAGAAAGGAGGTTGCTATGAATAAAGAAAACCTTGCCTTATTGAAGACAATTTCCATAGCACACTGTTACGTTTTTGTTTTCCAATGATGAAAGCTTAGGAACAAGACTATCTGAAATTAGCGCAGTAACTGATTTCACACTTCAACTTGCCACTAATATATTGCAATATGTTGTTTTCGCTAATAGGTGTCTGTAACGGGCAACTTTAACTTAATTTGAATTTGCATGTCAAGTTATAATTTACCTCATCTTACAATAAGGCTCCTACTAATTAAAAAAAATAAATCATGAAAATTACAAGATTGGATTCAGTTTTAAATTATTAAACAGTCTACTTTCCAAATGCTTGGATTGCTGTATAGTTACGCAAACAAAAAGCACTCCTATCATTTCTAAAAATCAATCTCTGTGTCACTGAATCTAGTTTATATCAACGTTGCTTTTTATCAAAGGCATGGTTTACAAAGTATATGAATTTCTAAAAATAGTGTGCAACAACCATTTCTACCGCTCAGCGAATTCCCTTGAGCAGTACCCTTATTAAGTGAACAAGTTGTTCAATTATAGTTCGAGGTTATGAAAAGCGTTCAGAGGAGAAGGAGTTTTCATTGCAAAAGAGCCTTCCGTTATCGACTTTCTTTATCTGAGCGGTCGGTTTTTAAAATTAATTTTTTCTTATTATTGCGCGAAAACATTTTTGAACGCTTAAGAAATAAAATGATAAAATAACAAATTATGAAAGTGAATTCAATCCTTTTTTTAAGTGGGGAGAGCTAAATATTCTTCAAAAAAAAAGATACATATTCACTTTGGGATAGTGATGCATTTTGAGCTTAATTATAGCGCAAATTTTCACATATGCGACAAACCAATAATGACTAACCTTGTTCTTCAGAGAAAGGTTGTTTGAAAAGGAGAAAGGAGGTTGCTACTAATAAAGAAAACCTTGTATTATGGCAAACAATTTCCATGATGCCCTGTTAAGTTTTTTTCTTTTCCTTTTTTTGTTTTTTCCGATGATGAAACCCTACGAACAAGTCTCTGAAATTAGCGCAATAATCATTTCTCACCACAACTTCTCAGTAATTGTGTTTCATTATATTGTTTTGACGAATAGGTGTCTGCAAGAGGCAACTTTATTCTAAACAATAGGTGGCTTTGAATGGTTAGTAGAAGAAGTCGCCCGGAATTATGCCTTGTAGTTATTGGCTCCCGATGCAGAACGTGGAAAGTCTTTTAAAAAGGCTTGTCAACACCCACAGTCAGTTTCTGAAGGGTTCAATTGAGTGTTTGCTGCAACGAACATATTAACAAGGATATTCCTAGAGAGGTAAATATTTTGCAGCAGATGGTAAGGAATTATTAATAGTATTTAATTGGTTGAAAGTGTGTTCTATCAGAGTACAAAACACGGAACTCAGAGAGAGCAGTTTAGTGCTTGACATAAGATAATTTTCAAAAGAAGATAAGTTAATATTTATCTTTCATTTAACAGGCTAGGCTAGCTGAGAGATCTCTAAAATTTTATTGACCAAGAAAAATTGTAATTCGACCAACTTTGAATTGTAAGCAAAATTTGCAGTCTCCGTTACGACTGAAACAATAGAGCGGGTTGGATGAACAGGTAGATGGAACAGAGTAATTTCACGTAGAATATCATTTCGTTGCCAAGCAGAAGGGTAATGAAAAGGTCGTAAAATAATTAATCAGGGGATTTTGTTCGATGTAAGACTTAATTCTCCGAGGTATAATTATAAGAAAAGAATAAAAAGCTGTAAGAAAAATTGGTATTGCGATTGAGAACGGAAGGTTTGACGCACAATGATCGAACAATGTGATGTTGCTTCGAGTCTCACTAGCTCTCTAAATGCATTTTTTTAGCATATATAATGAAGGGATTGCATGAAGGTTTCTATAATTTATCCATCATTCGTTACCGGTATATGAAGATTTCTGGGGAATTGTCATTTCTATTCACAAACACTTCCTCTGGGTCGGATTCGGCTTAGAGGAATTTGGAGCTAGGTTAGTTTTTGCAGTGGAGAATCTGCCAACATCGGGGAGAGTCATCCTAAGGGGCGGATCGTAACGATACATAAAGCTCTCAATCATTCGTTTACATGGTTGCATGTGGTGCTGTAGTTTAATAATGTGCCTGTGCTGTTTAATCAAAGAAAGAACCATTTTTTCCCATCACCAGCTTTATTTCTCAGTCTTACAACTCTCTGTGTTTTCTTATATATGGAAGCCTTTGAAGAGTGAAAACTTTGTCGTGTTAACGGCGCCCCTCTCAGCATACTTCGTAGTTATTTTAAGGTGTACGTTTTACAGCCTTTGAAAGACAAGCACACCTGCTGATGTACTAAGCTCAATATATTTTGTTATGCGACTTTCCCTTAAGAAGCAAGCTACGGATAAAAATTTCCTAAAATGTCACTGAACGAAAATATATCCCATGGCTTTTAGGCGCCTATCTCCATTATCTCCTCCGTGTGAGGCCACATTTCCACAAACGTTAGAGGGATCAGGGTAACCATCCGTTCCAAAACCGATTCTGGAATCACTCGTGTTGCAATCTTTTTGGTTATTTCCAAGGATGCCAATTCTTGCTCTTTGAGCATTTGCACTTGGTGACACATTAAACCCTTCCAGGTTACAATGCTGCTGCAGTGAGGTTTGGGATCCCAAGAGTGTCTTCCATAGGAGACGACCCAATGAAGTGGCACGATATTTTCCGTCGGCGATCAGTGAGTACAGGGAGTTTGCATGCTTGTGGATCATAATGAAGCGCACCTGCTGGCCGAGCCTCATACCGAGACAGATCTTGGAGAAGTGTGTGCTCCAGTAGGTTGGCAATTTAGTCTCCTGCTTGTCCAGTCCGGTCTTCCCACCAACAAGGTTAAAGTCGTCTTTATTGCTCCACAATTGGGAATTGTAACGAAATGTAAGCTGAGAGGTAGAAAAAAAAAATCAACTTTACTGGCGCATAACATTGGCCCATTCTTCTCTATTTTGGCAATTATAATCTGTAATGTCGTCGCATTCTACCCAAGGATTACCAAAACAAATACCTTCAGAAGCGTTTATTTTTCTTCATAGCTGTACATGTTGTCTAAGAGCTATGAGGCGAAAAAGTGACCGTTGTTGATAAAGCGTAGCAGAGCGAGCGAGACATTTAGACCAGCATGCGCGAGTGATACATCGTGGGTGTTTAAAGTGTCTGACTTCTCTCACCTCGCGCATATATTTTTTTAAATTCTTGCCGAACACCTTCAGTTCACGCGTCATTCAGACGCAAGAACGATGCTTGTGCATCGAGGAGTCCAATCTGAATTATAGATGACTTCTTTATTTTCAAATTGGCCTTTCTTAAGGTAAGGTACTTTCCGAACTCTTCACACCTTAGCGCCATCTATTTTCATGACCAGCGTCCATCCACCACCTCCACATGCACCCAAGCTTGCCATGTGACAGTACACGGGCACCTTTTTCTGCGGGCTTACCAGTAGGAGGTAAGGTTTGTTTCCTTCGGACCTTACAGAAAGGAACACTATAATTATTCATTCAGTAATTACTTGGACTACCTGTGAAAAAGCCCAAGTTTCAAATTCGGTCGCAGTCCTCTTCTTAATTCCTTAAAGTTACCTTCCACCTTCAGAAGCCGAAAAAAATAGATTTTTCTTGTATTTGACTAAACTGAATTCAAACATTCAACCTAACGTTTCCAGAAAAAAGAATATCTGAAATCTTTTAAAGCACCCGAGTTAGTAAGAAAAACGTATTTTCAAATAAAAGTTAATAAATCAGGAAGGCGTCTTGGGGGAACTTTCGCGGCAACCGCTCATACTGGGGCTCGATTTTCATCTTATTTTCATATTTTATTTACATCGCGCACTTTAAAAAATTCACACTTGGAAGTTCTTTGTCTATGGAAACATCATTGCACGTGGAAAAATCAAATGTGGAAAAACGTCCTTGGGGGAAAAAAAACAGGCCCTAAGAAGAAAGAAATGGTACCATTTTGTCAAGAAAAGAAAAAAAATTCCTTTGTGAAAGCGGTCGGTACCGGCGGAGCTCCACGCTGGCGTCCAGATTTAGAACTTAGAAGTCGCCGTCAAACCAACATTTGCCATACGTGATGGTCATTATTGTGTAGTCCTCCTCAACGCTCGTCGTTGTCTACGATGGGTTACTTTTCCCGGGAAATCTTGATTCATCCTCATTGACGCCGGGAGGTTCCCTTGTCCTATTGGTTTGCGGAAAACCAATAGGGGGCGAGAAGATCTCCTGGCGTGGCTCGAGTTGTTTGCGAACCTTTATGAGCTAAAATCTCGCATTTAATATCGGGAGGAATACAACCACTTTGAGAAAATTTATAGGGTATATAGATTTGACCGATTTTCGTCAAATTTGGCCGAAACATATTAGGAATAATGACAAACGAAAGTGTGTCGGGAAATTTTGATATTTGAAATACTTGACCCGTGGCGTCCATTTACGCAACACGACTCGCATATTTTTAGGTGCTCCAACTTTAAAAGCCGATACCTGCACAGCCAATCAGAATATCGCAAAAGCCTGACAAATTTTGTTGATTGATGCCTTATGAATGAGACTGTGCAACCATTTTGCTCGTGCTGCAGCATGCGACACCCGAGAACTTCAATAAAAGAACCTTCGGTCGTTTCACGCCTTACCGGCTCCTGACACTTCCTTAAAAGAAAACTCGCTTCAATTTTATTTTTATCGTAAACTGCATTTATTAAGCTTTCTTCTGATATACAGTTTGCTTGGATTTTAGTTAAACTAGCGTGCGTATGATTTTTTTCCCCAAGGACACCCGCAAATGTGGGAAGTACCCTTAACTCAGGTACTTCCGATTCCGACGATCTAAATTATTATTATATATTTTTTAATCGAAACTTGTTTTTCACAGTCGCCTATTACATATAATTACGTTGTAACGCGACGATCTTTGTTTACAAAGTTTCCCCCTGCTTCAAATTAAAACGAACCTCTTGGTCTCCGTCCTTGAAACGGAATGTACTATTTTGTGACTGCTGGTTTACTCTTTTTAAACTGAGTGAAATTTAAGGTATGTGGCAGTCAATTCCACGAATTTTGAAACGCACGCGATTATTCTCGTCCATCAAAGTGCTTCACTTTATTCTGATGGATCCAGCCGCTAATCAATTTGCCGATAATCTTATTTTAAAAACTGCATATTCTCTTGACTGCTTCTGTTTCACATTAGTTCTTAAAACAATCAAAAGGAATCACAATCAGTGTTGGGTTTGCTTCAAAATACTAATCGGTTGTAGTTCAGCAATGCTAAGCAATGCTTAACAAAAACTAAAAGGAAATTTGTAGACTGAAAACTCATGTGTTTAAGGTGCGTGATTGAAATAACAAAGGTAAATCCCGAAGTGTTTCGCTCTCACTTCGTGAGATCTAGATTACTCCGAAAGATTCCACAAAGTTACGGAATCACCGCAAGAGCATTGTTCAAGTATTGGTCGTCTTTCTTAATAGCCTGTTCCTCGCCAATATAGTAAAGAAACTACTGTCAATGCCAGTGTTACAAAGGTTTCAGCTTTTTTCAAAGTTACTTCGTAAGGTCACATAATTATTTTCGTTGACGAACTCAAAGGTGAAAATAAAAGAAATCCATACAACTCACTTGTGGTTGTCATAGATGTCCTTACACGAAGCGAATGACTTCTTTGCTAGAAAAAGCACACAGAATAGATAAAGAAACGATGTAATTCTAGTGAAATAATTGATGACAATGAATTAATTTAATCGGATGGATTACCTTCAGCTGTTTTGTTAACGGCGGCTATAAGCTGCTCGAATTTTTTCTCCAACGTTTCTACCAGAGTCCTTTCAAGTGATTTGACGGCTTCGTCAGTGGGCGAGTTTACCACATTGCAGACAATTGCTCTATCGTTTAATTTGAATGGAGTCGTCTTTGATACGGTTGAAGCATTGTCGCCACGGACAGTTATGGTGAAAATCGAAGGAATGAAAGACAGAAGGAAGGAGCAAGCAACAGAGGCGTGCATTTTCACTGCGTTAACTCTTTGCAATCCTAAGAGTATTTTTTGTTAAGCGCTCGGGATTAAATGCCGATATTTCTAAATGACGTGGCCAGGAGTCGAACAACACGAATTTTTGTCCTGACAGCCATTATCTATAAATAATCAAATTAGGCCACGTTTTTTATTTGACCCTTTTTGTTTAACCATGTTTGATTGATATTACCAATATGCAAAACTAGTCAGCCGGTGAAATGGAATAAAACAGCTCTGTTGGTATACTCAATTTTAGCCTTCAGCCAAAACGAATCAAACATAAACAAAGGCTGTCTGCTTCTTAGAACGACCTTGGAAAACTTTTAGGCTTTGTAACACTTTCTGCAGTCATCGCTGTGTGAAGAGATGGAGTAATCAATGCATATCATGTTTTTATAGCGAGTAAACAATGTATGGAGCCGTGTAAAGCGAAAGTTCATTAAAGCACAAAAGCTCAAAAATTCATTCGGAAGATTTTGCATGTATTTACTAAACTCTCTAGGACCATTTTTTGACCACTGGTGTGATGTGAAATGGAATAAAAACAGCTCTGGTTGTAAACTCAATTTCAGCCTTCAGCCAAAACGAATCGAAATTAAACTGCTTCTTAGAGCGACCTTGGAAAACTTTTATGCATTGTAACACTTTCTGTAGTCATTGCTGTATGAGGAACAAATAAATTATTGCGGATCATATTTTCATTGCGTGTAAATAACGTAACGGAGCCGCAAAAAGCGAAAGTTCATTAAAGCTCAAAATTTCCTCGGAAGATTTGACATGTATTTAGTAAACTCTCCATTATTTCTTGAACACTGCATTTCTTGGCGTGCGCTTTTGTTGAGACAAAAGGTCAGGGATGTGCACGCATAGGTGTAGTGCTTTTGAATATATCTGCCTTTTTTACTGATTTTGTAAGTTAACAATCACCACCACCCGACGAAAATCATCACACTTTGCAGCACTGGTTGATTGAATGAATGTTCACAATTGTTCTTAAGAGGCTGTCTCTCTTATTTCCACCCGGTCAATTTTGCGTCAAAAATAA